CTGAGAGGGGGACAGATTGGGAGATGAGCATACACCCTGCGAAATGCTTTAGAAATCATGGGTTCAGAAATTCATAGTCTCAGAATTTGAAATCAAACCCAGAATGTCTATTCAAATGTTAGGATTTACATTGAAACATTAAGAATAATCGAGACTCTGGCCGAAAACTTGGGTTTTCTTAAGCATCGCCTGGAGTGTAAGGCCTGCGAAATATGTGAAACCTGGAATAACGACGAAAAACATGATCGATCCACGAAGCCGGAGAGGAATATAGAAATGTGAGGCACGGCAACGTGTTCAAGACACCCGACTGGGCGACGGGCAATTGGATGCTGAGTGTATCGATCTGGATGTACCGTGCCCAGGGCTGTGCTGTCTTCATTAGCATCCGAGTCCTGACCGAACTGATCTGGACCTTACGCTCGAGCTGCCTGAGCACATAGTAGCAGCCCCAGAGCTATGTGAAGTGAAAACGTGCGGGACGTTCAATCAACTGGACCTCGAAATACGACTCAACTTCGAAAAAGAACGACAAGACACTGGACACAGGCTCGCGGATGCGCCACAGGATGTTCCAGGGGCGCAAAAGGGGATGCGCCAGAAGGCGTGCCAGGGGACGTATCAGGGGACGTGCCCTGGACGTGTCGGGGACCTGCCACAGGACGTGCCAAGGCGCGATGGCGGCCAGAGGACGTCATGCCAAGGAACGGTGTAAGGGGCGCGCCACGGAACGGGCAATGGAAACGCCTGAGGACGAGCCAGGAAACGCGACAGAGGACGAGCCAGGAAACATGCCACGCCGAGTGGCGTGCTGGGGGACGTGCCAGGGCACGTCACGCCAGAACGTCGCAAGGGACGCGCCAGGGGACGCGCCAGCGCGCCAGGGGACGCCCAACGGACGGGCAAGCGTTTCGCTCGAGACATCCTCAGCACATCCTTATGCTAGACATAGTTACGCCTGGACGACCTGGACACGGGAAAACAAGCGTCTTGCTCGAGACATCCTCAACACATCCTTATGTTAGACATGCGCCTGGGCGACCTGGACAAACCAAGCGTCCCGCTCGACACGTGCCCAAAACCTCATCATGCTAGACGTCTGCCTAGGCGACCTGGACGCTTGAAAACAAGCGTTTGCGGTTCGCTCGACACATCCTCAACACATCCTCATGCTAGACATCCGCCTGGGCGACCTGGACACGTGAAACCAAGCGTCTCGCTCGGAACGTTTTCAACACATCTTCAAGTTAGACATCCGCCTGGGCGACCTGGACACGTGAAAACAAGCGTCTCGCTTAAGACCATCTCAACACATCCTCATGCTAGACATCCGCCTGGGTGACCTGGACACGTGAAACCAAGCGTCTCATCGAGACATCCTCACCACATCCTCATGCTACACATCTGCCTGTGCGACCTGGACGCGTGAAAACAAGATCCTCATGTTAGACATCTGCCCGGGCAACCTGGACGCGTGAAACCAAGCGTCTCGGTCGAGACATCCTCAAGACCTGGGAATGTGAAAACAAGGACTTCACCTGAGACATCCTCTGAATTCTAGCCCCCAGGAGAGGAACGATCTATAACATAAAACAAGCGTTTCGTTCGAGACATCCTCAACAAATTCTACAAAACGAGCGTTTCGCTCGAGACATCCGCAACGGACGAAAATGTTTACTTTACCATGTGATTTACCTCTGCCCACGCGTCCTTCTGGATGCTTGGCTCACTGACTGACTGACTGACTGACTGACTGACTGACTGACTGACTGACTGGCTTTATCGATCGGATTTTCAAACATCAGCGTCTCGCTCGGGGAATCCTCAAAATAATTCCGCCAGCCCTTCCCGACCTCGATATTCATGCGGGAATAATTCCGCCGGCCCTTCCCCAACATGGCACCAGGAACAAGTTTACCAACTAAAAGAGAACCCTGGGCTCAGGCCCTTTCCGGTAAAAAACCTTTTTGTAGTGATTCCAGGCTTCCCATGATTCCATATTATGGGAGGGAAACCCATAGCCGGACAACGGCCATGAGCATGAACTGGAGGGGGCCCAGGGACACACAAATTCGCCAGCCCAACGGGCCATTGGGCGTGGCTTCATGGGGGGGTCACAAATGGGGGGGTCAGAAAAGGTCCCCTTTCGTGCCCCTTTCGGGCCCCTCCAGAGCCCCAGAGGGGCTCGTTTAGGTACCGTATGGGCACCTTTTCGGACCACGCTCGCCACCCCCCCCATTTATGACCCCCCCATTACGCGGCGCCCAAGGCCAGAAGCGTGGTAAGATCTCCGGCAAGTCGTCTGCAGTGTTTCTGCTTCGCGCGCACGGGGCGGCCTCTGCGGGCCCCCCCGGACGAACAAGATCCCCCCGAAGCCCGGGCGCAGCCCAGGCGCAGCACGGGCGCAACGCCTCCGAGATGGTTTTCCTCCTGGGTTCGGCCTTGCAGGACCCCAAGAGCGCTCGAAGAGGCCCGAGGAGGCCCCCTCTGGACGGCCCAAGAGAGCCCCCAAGCGCCGAAAAGACGCTCCGAGGAGCCTCGGATGGCCCCAAGACGGCTCAAGAGGCCCCAAAGAAGCCTCGAGAGCGCTCCAAGAGTAGCCCAACGAGGGCCAAAAAGAAGCACAAATCATTGATTGTCTTAGTGTTTTTGTTCTATGTCTTTCGCGTTTTCGCGTTTTCGGCCTTCCGACGCTCCAAGATGGCCCCAGAGGCCCCCGAGACCGCCCCAAGACGGCCAGAGAGGCCCCCAAGAGGACCCCAAGACGGTCCAAGAGAGCTCCAAAACGCCCCCAGAAGAGTCCAAGACCGCCCAAGAGGGCCCCAAGACAGCTCCAAGAGGGGCCCAAGAGGGGGCACACGAACCACCAATTCGAGCCTTCCGCCCCAAGAGGCCCCCAGGAGGCCCCAAGAGGCCCCCAAGAGAGCCCAGAAGGACACGAGGCCCCCAAGACGCCCAAAAAGAGGCCCAAGAGGCCCCCAAACGGCCCCCAAGAGGCCCCAAGAGGCCACGAACGCCCAGGCAAACGCCTGCGATGGCACAATACGGCCGGCGGAATGAGCGAAGCGATTGAAACATGATGGACCCACGAACCCGGAAAGGGATATAGACATGTGGAGCATGGGCACGTTTTCACGATACCCAACGGGGCAACGCCTCACGAAACATCCCACGAGACACCTCACGAAACATCCCACGAGACACCTCACGAAACATTCCGCGAGACACCTCACGAAACATTCCAGGAGACACCCCGCGAAACATTCCACGAGACACCCCACGAAACATTCCACGACGACAGGCAACCACTCAACCAAGGCGGTGTGGTCGTGCTGGGGAGTGGTCGTGCTGGGGTGTGGTCGTGCTGGGGGGTGGTCGTGCTGGGGTGTGGTCGTGCTGGGGGGGTGGTCGTGCTGGGGGGTGGTTGTGCTGGGGCGTGGTCGTGCTGGGGCGTGGTCGTGCTGGGGCGTGGTCGTGCTGGGGTGTGGTCGTGCTGTGGTGAGGTCGTGCTGGGGTGTGGTCGTGCTGGGGTGTGGTCTTGCTAGGGTGTGGTCGTGCTGGGGTGTGGTCGTGCTGGGGTGTGGTCGTGCTGGGGGGTGTCGTGCTGGGGCGTGGTCGTGCTGGGGCGTGGTCGTGTGGGTGGTCGTGGGGTGTCGTGCTGGGGTGTGGTCGTGCTGGGGTGTGGTCGTGCTGCGTGCTGGGGTGTGGTCGTGCTGGGGCGTGGTCGTGCTGGGGCGTGGTCGTGCTGGGTGTGGTCGTGCTGTGGTGAGGTCGTGCTGGGGTGTGGTCGTGCTGGGGTGTGGTCTTGCTGGGGTAGGGTCGTGCTGGGGTCGGGTCGTGCTGGGTGTGGTCGTGCTGGGGTATGGTCGTGCTGGGGTGGGGTCGTGCTGGGGTGGGGTCGTGCTGGGGTCTGGTCGTGCTGGGGTGTGGTCGTGCTGGGGTATGGTCGTGCTAGGGTGGGGTCGTGCATTTCGCTCGAGACATCCTGCCAAAATTCCAGGAAATCGTACAAAAACAAACGAATTAGTCGAGACATCATCGAAATTCCTTCGCGCGGGGCGCTTTTCCGCGTCGCGGTCGGCTCTGCAAAACAAGCGTTTCGCTCGAGACATCCTCGGCAAACTCTGCGGAGCAAGCGTTTCGCTCGAGACATCCTCAACACACGAAAAAGTGGCCCGCACCCTGTGATTTATCGATCGGGATTTCAAAAACAAGCGTTTCGCTCGAGACATCCTCAAATTTTAATTCGCCGGCCTCCTTCGACCTCGTTATTTATCAGGGAAAAAATTCGCCGGCCTCCCTCAAGCAGGCACCGGGGGATTAGGTTTACCAACTAAAAGAGAACCCTGGGCCCCGCCCTTTCCGGGAAACATGATGGACCCACGAACCCGGAAAGGGATATAGACATGTGGAGCACGGTCACGTTTTCACGATACCCAACTGGGCGACACCTCAAGAAACATCCCACGAGACACCCCGCGAAACATCCCACGAGACACCTCACGAAACATTCCACGAGACACCTCACGAAACATTCCACGCGACACCCCGCGAAACATTCCACGAGACACCCCACGAACAGGCAACCACTCAACCAAAGCACATCGCGGACGAGGACGACGACGGCATTCCACGAGACACCCCACGAAACATTCCACGGGAGTGCGACTGGGTGTGGTCGTGCTGTGGTGTGGTCGTGCTGGGGTGTGGTCGTGCTGAGGAGTGGTCGTGCTGGGGTGTGGTCGTGCTGGGGTGTGGTCGTGCTGGGGGGTGGTCGTGCTGGGGGGTGGTCGTGCTGATGGGGTGGCCGTGCTGGGGGGTGGTCGTGCTGGGGCGTGGTCGTGCTGGGGTTGGTCGTGCTGGGGTGTGGTCGTGCTGTGGTGTGGTCGTGCTGTGGTGAGGTCGTGCTGGGGTGTGGTCGTGCTGGGGTGTGGTTTTGCTGGGGTGGGGTCGTGCTTGGGTGGGGTCGCGCTGTGGTGAGGTCGTGCTGGGGTGTGGTC